GATTTTCACTAATTCCTGACTAAAGATACATGGTAGAAACAAATACGAATAAAGCATGGATACATGTTGATTAACATTCACCAAAAGCTTTTAAACATTTGAGGGTTTTGCATGTGTACCTTGATTTAAATATGTTAAAAACTGCAAAGGGGGCAAAAAATCGGTTTTAAGAACTATGCATGGATAATTGTGGGAAGATGTATTTTTGCTTATAAAATTGATGATAATTTCTTAAAGACATGCATGTTTAGAACTCTTTGGAAATAGTGACTTTTTACCATTTGCCTACCTTCTGGATTTAATTGAATTGTATTAGTCAAAGTTGCAAACTTTTTTAAACATAACTTCAAACAACATTGYAATTTCAGTTTTGCACATTAACATTTTTTCTGAAAGTCTTGGTGTGCAAGATATTTTTTTCTTTGATTCAGAAAGTGTATTGCTTGAATGCTCTTGTATTTACCCAAATCCTTGGAAATTATCATTGATTTGTTGCAACTAGTTAGTTTTGTATGATCACCAAATAGATGTTCCCAATCATCAGCAGGTTACAATGAATGACTTCTAGGATAGTGAAGGCAACATGTCTGTAAAGTTACAAATTACAGGCCTCATTCAAACAATTATTAGATTACGCTTAATTGGGTAATGTTATATTATTAGGTTTATATATCTTTTCATTACTTTCCAGTAATTTGTTTACTTACTCTCCTAGCTTTTCCAATGAGCCTATTCTCCCTGTATACAATGTCAAGCTGCCTTTCCATACTGCTGCATATCTGTACAATTACAAATCAAAATCTTAATTACTGGCAGCTTTAAATATTATTTTAAGAAMTTATTTTAAGAAATGAGACATGCTTCATGGTAATGTTACTTTCAACATCACTACTTACAGACAAGAATAGGCTTAGAGTATTACAAAAAAATAGGAGTTTGTTTTATGGTTTTGGGGGTCAAAAAATAGGGAGGGTAAAAAACGTTTGAGGTGACTGATCCCATGGGAGCAAGTCTCATAATGGCTGCAAGATGAGTCTAAAAACAAACCTACAAAAACGCTTTTTACTCGTGACCAGGCCCTAGGCCGGGTCACGAGTCAGAAAATGCAGCGCGTATAGTTTTGTTTTTTTTTTTCTATGTGAGACCTTTGTCTTCGGGCTGACCTTTGCGTCCCGAACGCATATCACATTACGAACTCGGCTGTGCGATCTCTAAACGAAAGATCACATTACGAACTCGGCTGTAAACAAGCGTATCATAGAACAGCAAAACTGCTCGTGAATTACTGTAGCTTTTATACGAATGAGATATAAATCGATTAATCGGTTAATCCTAGATTAATGCATGTTTTAACAAACTTTCCCTCAGTTGTAAGTGAAAAATAACATTCTAAAATGCTCTGATCAAATCATCAATAAGCCCTAACCTGAGGGGATCCCTGTGTCAATAAAAGTCTAACAGCCCCTGTCAAGGGCTAGGTTTGTATGTCAACAGCCCGTGTGCGTCCAGACTCCCCCCGTTGAGACAAGACATTGATAGGTGCATAATAAAAATAAAAAATAATAATGAACACTCCTTAGTCCAGTCAATCTACAAGATTTTGAGGGTTGAGGTGGAACAAATAGAATTTTTCTCAACGTTATGTGAGCCAGACAGGTGAGCTTATCAACAGAAAAAAAGTCCTCAAAAATCTGAGGCTCAGAACATGGTGTAAACGTTGATTTTATATTTGACCAAAAAGCACAGGGTACCCAATTTGTGAAAAAATTGTATTGTTCAAATTCATGTATTTTTCTGCCGATATTTTTTGGAATTTTTATATATATATTACTTTTACCCTCTTCTATGCAGGATTTGTTTGTGC